ATCGACAGGATGACGGCTTAGCAATGGGCTCGCCATTATCACCAGCAATGGCGAACATATACATGGAATACGTTGAGGAAATGGCATTGGAATCTATATCTCTATAGCCAACTATATGGTTAAGGTACATTGATGACACCTTCATACTCTGGCCATACCAGGAAGATGTTCAGGTTCTACTGGACCATGTGAACTCAATAAGACTTTCGATACAGTTCACAATGGAGAAAGAGAGTAACAACACACTCCCATTCCTGGATGTTCTAATATCTCGAACAGAGCATGGGTTTAAGACATCGGTATACCGTAAACTGACATTCACCGGACAGTACCTCAATTTCAACTCCTACAGCATAAAGAAAGGGATCGTCAGATGCTTACAACACTGAGCAAAAGTCATAAATGGTGACCCAGAGACATTACAAAGAATTGGTCAGTATAAGTAGTACACTACAATGTAACAACTACCCTGGGTACATGGGAGCAGCCCCAAAAAACTGGGATAGGTGGGTACAAGAGGAGGAGGACAACAACACTCAGAAAACAGCCTTATGTGAAGGAGTTATCAAAGAAAATACAAAGGATCTGCGGTCCATATAACATCAGGACTACCTTCAAAAGCTGGACGACACTTCGCAGATATCTCTCCCGAGTAATACTCCCCATAGTGGAGAACATGACTAAAGACTGTGTGTACACTATCTCGTGCAGCAGCAGAAAGGAAAATAAAGGAGAGACAGGCCGCCCCCTCAAGGTAAGGCTTCAAGAACATCAGAAAGCTGTAACATGAGGGGAGGTAGAAAAATCAGGCGTGGCTGACCACATATGAAGAGAGAAGGGAGATCACCACCCTCTGTGGGATCATGTTGAGATCATAGATAGGGAACACCATTGGAAAATTCATAAACTTAAGGAATCAGCACATATGCTAGGCCACAGAAACCTCCTGAGCCGACCAAGCATAGAAATAAATACAATATGGGAACCAGTAATAAGGAATGCCAGAGAAAAGCAATGATAACAGCAAAATTGCAATATGAACAGTGGTAAAAATGTTAGCTGAAGACATTAGGTTTATAATACCCAGAAATTCATACCCAGATGTCCTTTAGGACACATGGCACAGTGGATAAAGGCATTGGTTAGATCCAGTGACAAGACCCGGTTAAGGCATCCATCAAACATGGCAACTAGAACAGTCTACTCCAGTGAGCGAAATCAGTTCGACATTCCAACCACCTGAAGAAGGCCGAAACGTGATAAATATGGCGACAAAGATTAGGACAATAGTCCAAATAATGTACATAATACCTCATCTCAGAAATATAAAAAAAATACAAAGGTCCATAACATCATATAGACAGACTCAGTGTTAACCTTGTTTAACTTTGTCCTTGGAGGACATTTCTAATTCTTGTCGCAGCAGAGCAGAAATCATAATGAAAGACTGAACTCATCTCAGCTACCACTTGTTTGAACTGTTACCCTTAGGATGATTTTTACTTATTATTTCTAGGACAAATTGCTTAAGAAACAGCTTTTATTCTTGCATAAAGCACAACCACCTGCTGATAGTTTTCAATGTATTTTAAACATTACTTTTCATCATTCAATAGTAAGTTTTGTGTGTGTGTGTGTGTGTGTGTGTTAGTGCACCTGGGGATTCCTATCCAATTTCATTGTGCATTGCGTAGTGACAAGAATAAATAAATTGTTTATGTTTTTATGAAAAATAAAAAATGCAGTTCTTCAGACATTTAGCACATTCATATAAATCTAGTTAAAAAAATAAAATAAAAAGCAAAATTTTTGGTTTGTTACTCAAGATAACATTTGAGTAACTCACCGTGTTTACTTTCAAAATATTGTTAAAAATGTTTATCGTAAATTTTATAAATTTATTTATATATATTAAATATTAGAGACGAATTTTCGAATGCTAAATTTTAGATGCTAATTGTTAAATGCTAAATTTTATACTAAAATAAATGTTAAATTTTATATATATTTATATATATGGTGATTGACACATCTGACTCAGATGAGAACTGCCCCCTCACATCACTTGTGATGGCTTCTGTCTCATTTCAGCATCCAAGACCCCTTAGATAACTCTTGAGACCAGCAGTTGATTTCATATGCATATATGACAAATAAACTGTATCTTTCAGTGGGTTGATTGGATCTGCATGACCTTCAACTCTGTGTACCACTATATGTACCTCCTCAGTATATTTGATGATATCCAAAACTTGTTGCAAACAATACAGGTATTGTGGACAGGCCGATGAGGAATGTTAGCATAGGTGGGTTGCTTCTGATTGTCATGATGACCTTTGAAATGGTTTACATAATCTGCCCTCAACAATAAGATGCTCTTGCACATTTCTAAGCCTGCATATTAGTTGGCAAATCAGAGTAAGTGTCTCTTTGGAGATCACGCTTGATCCAAGTATGCCTGAGACATTCATATTATATATATATATATATATATATATATATATATATATATATATATATAATATAATTTTTATTACACACCCAGAGGAAGAAAAAGGTTTGTTTTTTTATCTTATTTGATGTTTTCTATTGGAGATTTAAGTATTTGTACAATAATGTACTTAATAGCTAAACAAATATTTTAATGCCTAAATCTCTAAAGAAAGGTCTAATAAAATTTAAAAGAACAACCCCTTCCTATCAATAGACAAAATTATAAGAATTTGCTGACTTATTACAAATATATACATACATAAAAACAATATCTGTCTATATTTCTGAGATGAAGTACTGTAACTATTTACATTTTTCAAACTGTTGCCTTCATCTTTGTTGTCATATTCACATTTCAGTCGTTGTACATGTCAGGCTCCTTCAGGTGACTGGAATTTCAAACAGAACCCTTTATTTCATCCACCAGTGTAGATTGTTCTAGTTCCACATACCATGCCTTTTCTGGATATCTCAGATTCAGTTATGTCTCTTATCTCTGGTCCATGTGTCCTTGGATAAAAGCATTGGTTGAAGTAATCCAGTGAACTGACCCAAAGAGTTGTGAGTTCAATACCTGGCCACAGCAGAGGTGAACAAAACCTTAGAGAGTTGAGATACTAAAGGGACATAAATGAAGCTGAGATATCAAGAAAAGGTATGGCATATGACATTAGACTGGTGAATGAAATAAATGGTTCAGTTCAAAATTCCCATCACGTGATGAAAGCCAGAAAATACAATACCCGAAACGTTGTGAATATGATAAAGATGAGGATAACAGTCTGAACAATATAGTGTAAATATAAAAACAAGTTTTATTAAATTCATCCAACAAGTATCTGTCTATATTTCTGAGATGAGGTATTATGTATACTATTTACATTATTCGGACTATTGTCTTCATCTTTGTTGCCATATTTATTACAATGTTTCGGCCGTTGTACACTCCAGCCTTCTTCAAGTGGTTGGAATGTCAGACTGAACCTTTTATTTCGCTCACTGGGGTAGACTGTTCTAGTTCCATTAAACATGCCATGTGAAAGAACAGTCTACCCCAGTGAACAAAATAAAGGGTTCAGTTTGAAATTCCAACCACCTGGAAGGTGGTTGGAATTTCGAACTGTAGTTGGAAGCATGGATGAATGGCAGAAGGCTGGAGCGTACAGCGGTCGAAATGTTGTAATAAATATGGCAACAAAGATGAGGACAATAGTCCGATTAATGTAAATAGTCATCCAACAAGGTATGTCTTTTAAATTTATTTTCCAGGTTTTAAATAAGTTATTAAACAGTCAGGTACTGTCAAGCTCAATAAAAGTTCTACACATGATATTACTTATGAGATTTGAAATCTAACAATTAAAAAAAAAAAAAAAAAAAAAAAGTGAAATACCAGGCTGTAATGATGATGACAGATGGTTGAAAGTAACTGAACCAAATAGAAAAAAATGAGTTTCCCCACAATTTTCATATGGATGTGTAAATGTTAAAGGAAGCCACTCAAAGTTGAATATTGAATTAAAACAGTGATTTCAAAGTTGCTAAATTATTTTTTTTTATTCATTTAACCCCAAGCAAGGCAATAATACCACTAAGACAACAGAATTATCGAGATTATTGAAAGAATATGGAAAAGGAAACATTAAGGATCAAAAACAATAAAAGATGATGAATAAAGAAATCATTAGATAACAGTTGACATTGCATTTAAATTTTTGAAAATCAAAATTGGCTGGAAAGCAAGAAGAGAGTTCCACAGGTAAGAAGTGTGAGAAAAGAAACTGTTAGCATAGAACTTACAGTTATATCTATCTACTTAATCTGTAAAATTATGAAACCTTGTTGCCAGTCTAGTACTGCACTTAAATTCATGAAGTCTAGGTACCATAGAGGAGAGTTCATCAGAACAATTATCATGAAAGTATTTATAGGGAAGCTACATTATGTTGGTGGGAAAGTGACTGAATCTGAGATGCCAGGTCAGGACCAATAACATTACAGATTCTTTAGATTTTATTAAGAATCGCTAAATATGTAGCAAGAGCACCAGACCCTATATGGCAGGAATATTTGAAGCATGGATGAATGGCAGATTTATAAATATGTAAGATAGATTCCGGAGAGAAAAATTGTCTAGCATGACACAGAGAACCAATTTGCCCAACAGCAGAACTGACTTATTTAAACAATCCTATCATTTTTTTTTTTTTTTCAGATCCAGTCAACTAATTTATAATAATATGAAATAGCAGACGGCAACAATGCTTATTATAAATGCTATAGGTTATATAATTTACAACTGGATTTTGACATGGCAGATAAAATATGGACAGCAATATGGATGAATTGTAGACTTATAAATATGTAAGCTAGATTCTGGAAAGAAACATCTTACAGCAGCTTGTTCATTTAAGCATAAATGATACAAAGAAACAAGCATGTTAGTTTTATGGATGACTGAAAAACTTAAATCTTCAGTTTGCAAAATGGCTTATGTCTGCATCATGTTAAAACATCAGTTCTCATATGATCACCAAAGTTAAGCACTGTCATACCTGGTCAGTACCACGATTGGTGACCTCTTGGGAATACCAGATGCTGTAAGCTTTGAATTGTAGTTGGTGTAGTGGCTTGAAATTGTTAAATCGGAGAACTGAGTTCCAATTCTCATTAGGTTTTTTTATTATATTCACTTACGTGCAAATAGCCTTGAGAAAGAAATGAATCCACCTTTTCTCCTCTCAGCTATGGGTTAATTAGCAAGACTTGTGTCACTAAATCATCATTGTCTTACCAAAAAAAATTCTTACAATCTAAAAATATTTCATGGCTTTAAATAACCTGCAAAGCAGTAGAAAAATGAATCAATCAAAAAAGACAAAAAACAATGTCAGTTTACAAAGTAGTTCAAGAAACACTAAAATCAAAACAAAATGTGTGTTCATTTGATTAAGAAACTTTTAATCTGTGAATAGAAAATGACAATTATTGCAGCCCATGCTACTTTCAGACTGTCGATCAGTTACCTTTTTTTTCCATTTTGCTTCTTCTTTCTTTTTTTTGGTTTTAACATTTATCAGCAAAAGTGGAAGAGAATACTTAGCAAATTCCAGATAAGAGAGCTAAAAAATTACAAAAGGAAACATTACATAATAATGATGTTAATAGTAAAATTAGCTGTTTCCTTATAAGAAAACATTTGGTATTTATTGACCAAGCAGCCAGTATTACTTCCAGCACAAATTTTAAAAATCTTTCTCTTAAAAAACAATTTTTCAGGAAGAGAGGTGTTTTTCAAGTCCAGTAGCTGTTATCACTCTTTCCAGTATTGATGGGCGTTTCTTTCCTAACCTTTTATTTGAAACAGTGTGGAATGCCAACATCTTGATTATGTCATCATTTTCTCTTTGAGTTACATGTGCTATCCATTTTAATTGTTGCTGCTGTTGAAAGTCCTCAACAGACAAAAAAAAAACATTCAAGAAATTATATAGACAATTTGTTTATATATACATACATGAGGGGATGCTGAGAAGTTCTCAGCCTGACCAAGAAGGTATAATATCTTTTGACCAAACAGGTTTATCCCTTGTTTCAATGTTTAGGATTGGGTTTCTGGTTCCTTCTAAATTCTATTTCAACTCTATACTTCTAAAATCTCTGCCTAAACTTAAATTTATACTACTTGTATTATTAGATTTCCAGTCCCTTCTAAATTTTTTTCCAAGTGGATCCTAGTAATATAAAATATTAAAACCGATCCACAAAAAAAAGCTCAATGTATCTGTTATTACAGAGCAAATAATTGGTACACAATAAAATCCCAAGTTACCTCATATGGGGAATAGGCTTATTTCAACCAATGAAAAATTTGTCAGTCTTATTCAACCCCGGTAAAGACTGAGTTTGTATTGGAATTAGAAATTTAACTGTGACAGCAAAAAAAAAAAAAAAAAAAAAAAAAAAAACAGATTCCATTTTAATGTTTCAGTCAGACAAAAGGCACAAGACAGGGGTTAGGAGATTAGTCTTCAAGGGAAAAGGTTTTATAAAATTAAACCCATATGACATTAAATTGGGGTTGTATGAAGAATGAAATCTTAATTTGAAACTAAGAGAGGAACAAAAAGGGTTTTTTTTAAAAAAGAAAATTTAAATTATATAGATAAAGTTATGTTTAAAAATACAAAATCATACTTAAAAATACCCTTCAAAGAACAAGTTATATTTAAAGATAAGATATAATTAAATAAATTAAAAATAAATCATATTTAGATAATTATATTATATTTTTATTTCTAAATATTTTTCATTCTTTAATATAACCTGTTGATATTATATTAAATATAAACTATTTTTAAATATAATTTTACTTAATTTTAATATAAATTATCTAAATATGACTTATTTTTAATTTATTTAAATATATCTTTAAATATAAATATTTTTTTGTAACTGTCACAGTTAAATTTCTAATTCTGACATGAACTCAGTCTATACTGGGGTTAAATAAGACTGACAAATTTTTCATTGGTTGAAATAAGCCTATTCTCCATATGGGGTAAGATTGGATTTTATTGGGTGCTATATATCAAGAAAATCCTTTACAACCCACCTCGGTTATAATTTATTTCATGAATATTTTTATATTCATGGATTGATTCCATTTCTACTATCTGCCTGGATGGGTTGATTCCATTTTTAAAAATCTTTTGGTCTGAAGAGGTGAATATAAAAATATTCATAAAATAAATTATAACCAAGATGGATTTTTAAGATTTTTCTCAATTTATTATTATATTGCTCTGTAATTTACATTGAGCTCTCTTTGGATTAATGTCCTCCTTGGAATTATCCCTACCAATTACAAATTGGTTTTATATATATATATATATATATATATAGAAAGAAAGAAAAGGAGAGAGAGAATGTATTTTTATTTTTATAATACGATATATATTTATTATTTTGTTGTGGGTTTGTCTATGCATATATATATATACTAATAATAAATATACAAGTTTTCCTCACTGGTAGCATAACCCTTAGTTTCATGCACAATGCATGATGTCAGGTGCTGATTGATGTGTGACATTATATATATATATATATATATATATATATATATATATATATATGCATGTTTCATTAAAAATGACAGACAAGGTACTACAGTTAAGCTTTTTATTTAATTTTTCTTGTGTTCAAACAAGAGCTTTCTTTTCTGGACAAAGGTTGTGTAAGAACTGTCCAAATGTTTTATATTTCTGAGTGCTTTGTTTTCTACTAGTATGTTTCTAATGAAGATGACTTATGTTACACCTATCTGATCACAGTTCCATTAGAACCCATTTAAACACACACACAAATTTACCAGACTCCATTAGAAACATACTAGTAGAAAACACAAATATATTAACTGCATCCAACTGAAAAAAAAAAGACTAAAAATAATGGAAGCTTTAATAATAAAAAAGAAAAAGCCAACTCTCAACAATATTAACTACAAACAAAGCCACAATGTGCTAACCATATTCGGAAATTAAAAACATCCCTACCACACACTAAGACATACACATAACGCACGCACAATTAAGCTGAAAAATCAAATCATCCTTCATAATGGCTAAAGGTATAGCCGAAAGAGCTCAGAAATATAAAACATTTGGACAGTTCTTACACACCCTTTGTCCAGAAAAGGAAAGCTCTTGTTTGAACACAAGAAAAATTAAATAAAAGCTTAACTGTAGTAGCTTGTCTGCTGTTTTCAATGAAACATGCATAAAAGGAAGGATTGCTGCCTAAATATACAACTAATATATATATATATATATATATATATATATATATATATATATATATATATATATATATATATATATAAAATGTAAAAGGTTAATGATGAGAGTTGAATCAGACCAGGAAACAGTAGTATTGAAAAGTGCTCAATACACCTGTAAAAAAAATATAAAAAGTAAAAAATAACTTTAAATTGACCTCCTGATTTTTAAATTATATATATATATATATATATATATATATATATATATATAAAAATAAATCAAGAAAAATCTTAAAAATCCATTTTGGATATAATTTATTTCATGAGTATTTAATATTCATCTCTTCAGACTGAAATATATATATATATATATATATATATATATATATATATATATATATATAAATAAAATATAAAAAATAAATAAAATAGTGCATGGTGTTCCTCACTGATTGGTATCACACTAACTTGTACCAAACAGTGAGGAACAAAATAAATATATATTTATTATCGGAATCTCTATAATGGGATATGTAACAAATAGGAAATATTTATAAATTTAACATTTTGCTTTTATTTATGCTTCACTGGAAATTTCTGGAAAGGAATTATGGAAGAGAAACTTCTATTATTGTCAGTTCTAAGTTTGTTTGTTCATTTTTCCATTGGTCAGGTTGGCGTCACATGATTTTGTCTTGTGATATTAATGTGCACTTGGATTCTAGTAGGCATTTTTGTTTTGGTCTGGGTGCATCTGCATGTTTAGTTCTTGAAGATGGTAGTAGCGGGATGATGACATGCCTGTATGTTTGTGCACCATATTTCTTGTTGGTCTTGCAAGGGTGGGTCGTGCCAGTTGATTGGGGGATGTTTTAGTGTACCACCTTTCTTGGGAAATATTCTATTGTCACAGTGGGAGATAATTTAACAAGAGTAATAAAAACAAACAAAAGGAACCTAAATAAATTCAGCTAGACTATATGCGCAAACACATTTTTAAAAAAATTTAACTTTCAAATTTCAGCATGTTCCTCTCCATGTGCATGTGTAATCACATCAGCATAAACATCACTTTAGTCTGATGATGTCCTAAAGGATGAAATGTGAGATGTGTCACAAAACAAATTTTCCATTTGGACATCTGTTTTTTTTTTTTAAGTGTGTGTGTGTGCATACACACACATATATATAGTGATTTACTAAGTGTAGCTTAGATATAGTACAAGGCCAAAAGTATGGGTCACACAGTGTGGATCAAACTCACTATTCAGTCAAGCTTGCTCACCATGTCAAAGTGCCCAATATATATATATATATATGGTATATTTTTATTATAAGACATTATGATAAAATCATTTTAAATCGTTACACAAAAGATTCCACGTTTCAGTATTTTGATTGCACTTCTTCAGGCAATGATTTTTTACTCCATTTGTTCTAGCTTTCATTTGGAGATTATATATATAAATTTTGTATTTGAACAGCAATCTCTCTTTTATAGAAGTTTCATTAAAGACAATTGACAAGGCGTTTGATTAACCTTTTTTTTTTAATTTTTCTTGTGTTCATATAAGTGTTTTCTTGTCTGGACATAAAGTGTGTAAACACTGTCTGAATGTTCTACATATTTGAGCACTTTCAGCTATTTTATTAACAAAGTCAAGGATTTTTTTTTTTAATTTTTCACTGAATATGTAGATTTTTATATATCTGGATCTATAGTCATGGGAATGTTTTTTATTTTCCAAACACAGTCAGCATATTGTGACCATAATCATTGTTGATATAGAGTTTTGGATTTTTCCTTTTTATTATTAATGCTTCCATTATTTTTAGCTTTTCTTATAACATGTGGATGCAGTTATATATAATGGATGTTATGGCAAAATTGTCCAATTATTAGATTAAGCTTTGAACCATTGTATCTTAGAAATGATTAATGATATCTTACTGGAATTATCCAAGGTTTTTATAACACTATTGGACTCTACTTTGAACAATAATAGTGTATTTAGCTCTAAGTTGAAATGATGATCCCTCTTCCTGTTGTGACTTCCTGATCCACTTTTCCTCTCTACTGTTCCCTCCTTTTTAAACTTATTCACCCTCCTCTTGATGGTTCTTGAATGAACCTTGAAGTTGGAAGCCAGAGTATGAATGTTTATACTATTACTGAAGGTCTGAATGGTCTTTTCCCTCTCGCCATTGCTCAGTTGGGAATATATAGTGGACTGACACAAAACAATTTTAACCTGTTCTCTTTCTAGCTGAAAAACTCAAAAGGTTTTTCAGTGATTTTTACAACAAATGGTATCAAGATGGCTAAATGTCTTATCTGAAAACCTGGAAAAAAGAAACTCAATTAATTACGTGTTTTTTTAGATATTAAACATTTTGGGGGATGGACAATTATCCCATGCTGTTAGACAATTTGGACAATTTTGCTCTTACACCTGGTGCATATGTGTGTGTGTATTTCTTTTAACCTAGAAAATTCTTAGAAAAAGTGAAGCCTGTAAAAATGGCCGAGATTGGTGTAGATTATGCTTAGAAGAAAATTTAGCTATATTAAAACTGAGCAGTGATGTTAGATTATTAAATAAAAAATCAGAGTTAATTAGTAGGTGTAGACATAGCATTAAACACCTATTGTGCTACCTCTCACCAAACTAGTGCCTAATTTGATTAAGTTAGAATCGCTCTGGCTCAAATGAGCCCATGCACAGGGTTTTTTTCTTTGTTTATTTTCTTTGTCCCGTTTGAGGGCAACTATTGTCCACTGCTTCTTTTTCCCTCTGTTCCCCCCCCACATATCACATTAGTATAAATTTTTGTTCTTTCTTTCATTTACATTCTAGTCACCTAATAATTACAAGAACATAAAACTTAAGTAGCAGCCTGAACTTTGTCTCTTTTGAGGTGTCACACTGTGAAGTGTTTTTGCTCTGACTTAAAAGAATAGGCATAGAGCACTTTTGGTTACTGTTTTGGTCTTTTTTTTTCTTAGTTTGTTTATGTTTCCTTGATTTATGTTGTCAGTAAATTGTTTTTGTTTTTTGTGAGTTTTCTTTTGACCACCTGGCAAGCTTTCTGTTGGTTGTACCAACACTTTAGATTTTTTTTTTTTTTTTGGTATCACCGACATGGTGTGGTTTCTCTCTGTCTTTTCTACAAATATTTTCATGGCAACTGCTCTGATGAGGTTTTTCCCTGATGCCCAAACTACTTGAAATTAAGCATGCTACTAGATTGGCATCTAGGTCCCACCGTTTTACTGCTGAAATAGTTAAATGCAACTATCACTTCTACTCCAACAATTTCTTTTCTCACACTCCCTGCTTGTGGGACTCCCTTCCATTTTACATGCTTCCCAATCTTCAAAAATTTAAATGCAACATCAATCGCCATCTTCTATCTTCTTGAATCCTGTTCTTTTGTCCTTTCTTCGATCCTCCCTATAGTCTTTTCTCTCACTTTCACTCCCTGTAACCTTCTGCATACTTGTGACATTCTCAATTTGCTTGGGGTGAAATGATAAAATCATTTTTATATATATATATATATATATATATATATATAAGAAATATAGTCTTAAGATGTATTTATGGGATAAAGTGTTCAATATCAGAGATAGATCGTGTGTAAATATAAAAGTGAACATTGAAGCCAACACTTAGAGGCGACAGTCTGTTTCATGCTATATGCAATTATCAGGCCACGAGTGCTGTTATTTTTCTCGGTTATTTATATATACAGGTCAGTGGTGCATTGTGGGTAGTCTATTTTGGTGGTTATTTTACTGGAAGTCGTTTATTTGTTTATTTATTTATTTATTTGGGTTAAATTATGTTGCCTGTCATTATTTATTTTTATTTATTATTTCTTATCTTACATATTTATCTATTTTTTATTTTAATCGGTGTTTTTATTAACGAAGTAAAAATTTGTTTATATTGCATATTTAGTGGTTTTGTTTTGATCCGGGAAGATAATTTAAGCTATTTATTCAATTTTGGGGTTGATTATTGTAGTTTATTCTAACTATTATTTTGGTGGGAACAGTTTTTAATATGTTTATTACTGCATGTATTTATTTGTATTAATTATCTTTACTTGTCTTTTAGTTCTTATTTATTTATTTTTTCTGTTAATGAAGATCAGGAACAGTGTAGGGCTCAGGATAGAGCCTTGGGGAACACCTGCGCTCGTGAGAAAGGAAATGGAAGAAAATCTGTTAAGGACGACCTCCATTACACACTTTGACAGGAATGATTGTATTAAGTCAAATAATCGTCCTGAAATTCTGTATATTACTCTTTGAAATTTATTTTGCCAAGTAAATTTATATTGATAAAACTTTTGAACTATAAAGTGTTTCTGATTCAGCCAACTGTAGATAAGTGAAACTATGGTTGGTGGTCAGTAGTGTGCAGAAGGTGGGATAGAGGGTGTGATGGCCCCAGGCATCCATAAGGGAAGGGCATTCAAGCAAAGAGTGAAATAAAAATTTAGTTTATATTTAATTTGAATAAAGTGTTTATTTCTAGTTCCATTTGTTTTTACATATTTAAAATAACTTCCTTTCTCACATTTCTCAGTCTTAGGCTCTATAGGCCCCACTACTTGAGTCTTAGGGACATACGATCAAAGGAGTTGGCTCCAGGCATCACCAAACCTCTTCATGTTACTGTTGGTGATCCATCTTCAGAAAACATATGAGTGTATTTGTATTGGCTTCCAAAGGGAATGATCAATTTATAATTTATGTTGCAAACTAGACTTCCTATTAACCTTTATAAAATTAAAGTAAAAAACAACGAAACTTGCAATCTAGAGTGCTTAATCTAAAGTGATATGAAAAAAAATTTAGAAAAGAAATTATTTCAGATTGCAGTACCTTTTATACAACTGCCCATTTGACTTACTCAGGAATTAAGCAAAAAAATACATTTAATAGTCAATGAATTGTGCTTATGGTCATATCAAGTTGAAACATTGGTTCTTGTCTGATCACTGAAGTTAAGCAACGTCAAACCTATCCAGTACCTAAATGGGTGACTGCTTGGGAATACTAGGTGCTGTAAGCCTGGATGTGCAAGTGGTGTAATAGATAGTGGCTCGAGATTAAAAATGGGAGAGCCGTGTTCAAATTCCAGTCGGGTTTATTACATTAACTTATCCAAATACCTTTGGGTGATCATGACCCAAAAAGAGACATGATCACCCAAGTGGTGTCATATCCAACCCTACCAACATGCATTGGGTCAGTGTGGTAAGGTAATGGTCCATGAATCTGGGGAAAGGCTATGTCCAGCAAAGGATCTTCACATGCTGAGGAAAAGAAAGCAATGAACTTTTTTCTTTCTTTTTTTTTTTTTTTTTTATTAATTTGAGTTTTTTTCCCCTCTCAGGACATGATGATTAGACTTTGATAAACTTAAAGATATTTAAATCGATTAATTTTTTTTTTCACATTTTCAAAATGCTATATATTTTTTTGTGTTGGCATATTTTAATCTTTTTATCTATATCTTGCAAAATGGTTTCAGTTTCATGAATGTTTTGAACACAGAAGTTTTGCTGATTAGTCCAAAAGCAGGTAAGTGAGACTACAGTTGGCAATTCTATGAGACCCTATTGTAGACATTTTTGTATTGGTGGAAATTTTAAGACACGTGCAGAACAATTATCCTGTAACTGAAAACAATATCTTGAAATACTTTAAAGCAGCAAGAGGATCAACCGAAGAAGCAAGCCCTGAAATGAAGCTGTAAAAATCAAGCAAGTACATTTAGATGCCTAATATGTATATACATGTTTATTTTTTATCTTTTTTGAAATGGAATTTTCCAACCTGCCCCCAAGTTTATTAAAACCACCCTATTTATTAATTTCACACTTTTTGGCTTTTAAATGATTTTCTGACTCCCATGTTTTTATACACTGCCATTTATTGTATACTAGCAGTAGAGCCTGGCAATGTATCGACCATCATAAAGACTGAAAAATAAAATTGACAAAGATTATTGTTTAAGGTTGATGGACACGCACGTCTTAATTAGGTTTTTTTTTTTTTTTTTTTTACAAATTGGTCAAACCCAAACAAAAACATTGTTTTCAATCGTTGAGTCTATCAATTGAATAGAATTTTATTATAAACAATTGTCTTGTAAATGGAATTTTAAAGCATTCTGAACGTAAAAAATAAAGAAAAAAGTGTGCAAGACAATAAGAAACACTACCTGCCAAAAAAAAGTGAAGTTTTGTTGAAATCGGTTGAAAAATGTAGGAAATCCGATTCCATATATAAATGAACACACATACACACAAACAACCTGGGTTTTATAATAAGTATAACTTGATATGAGTTGTCGCCTTTTCATTCTGGTGACAGAATCATATTTTATTGTGTTTTCAAATTGATTTCATGCAAAAACAATTGTGTTTTTCCAATTTTTGGCACTGTCAGAACCACCGCAAGGTAATTTTACGCAGTCCTGTGAAGTTTTGTTGAAATCAGTTGAAAAATGTAGGAAATCCGATCCAATATATAAACGTACAGACACACACACACACACACAATCTGCATTTTATAATAAGTAAGATTTAGAAAAACTCCAGTCCCCTCAATTAAGTCACCTCCTGTTGTATGAAGACCCTAAGAGCATAAAAATTTATCTATCTAGGAAGTGGCCTGAAGGTGAATTGGAATAAAGAAAGATAAAAGTATTTAGAAACAGGAAAATTTCATTATAAACAAAGAAAAGAATGCTGAACTGTTATGTAATATCAATCCTCCTGTATGATAGTGAATACAGTACAATTTCCTTACAGATGAAGAAGAGATTTGAGGTAACACAGATGTGGTTCTACAGAAGGATGCTGAAAATACTATGCACTGAACATGTGAGTAATGAAGTTTTAATGAAAATGGAAACTAAAAGGAAATTTATATAGAATCAGAAAGAAACAGTTGAAATTTCTGGGACACATAATGAGGATAAAGGGTTTGGAGAATTTGATATCCACCAGACATAGAAAAGGCAAGAGAGGTAGAGAGAAACATCAAGTAAACCACCTGTTTGTGTAAATAGATGGCAGAGCAGGAACAAAAAAGGGATAAGACAAATGCTGCTTAGATAGATAAGAAGTTGTGAAGAGCTATGATCGCCTATGTCATATAAAAGAAGAAAACTGTTGCTAAAATATTTTCAATAAGCTTTGCTTAGTTTTATCATATGTCCACAAGTTTATGGCACCTTTTGAGGATGAACTCACTAGACTTAAGTAATGATCTATGAGTCCAGCTTGTTAACCATCGCTAACCACTAGAATGAAACAGCAAGTAAACTACCTAATGAGCAAGTGTAAATGAATGGCAGAACAGAGACTGGGAGAAATAGTAAGGGGACAAACATTGCTTAGAGCAAACAAACGATAGGAAGTTGTGGAGAGCCATGATAAACCTACTTAATGAGTTTGTGTAAATGTTTGGAAGAACAGACTGGAAGGGACAGTAAGGGGAGACATTGCTTAGAGCTACAAAGTATAGGAAGTTGTAGAGAGCCATGATCAACTTAATGAGTTTGTGTAAATGGATGGCAGAACAGAGACTGGAAGGGATAGTAAAGGGACACATTGCTTAGAGCTACAAAGGATAGGAAGTTGTGGAGAGCCATGATCAACCTACTTGAGCATGTGTAAATGGATAGCAGAACAGGGACTAGGAGGGATAGTAAGAGGCCAAACTGCTAAGTGCTACAAAGGATAGGAAGTTGTGGAGAGCCATGATCAACCTACTTGAGCTTGTGTAAATGGATAGCAGAACAGGGACTAGGAGGGATAGTAAGAGGCCAAACAGTGCTAAGTGCTACAAAGGATAGGAAGTTGTGGAGAGCCATGATCAACCTACTTGAACTTGTGTAAATGGATAGCAGAACAGGGACTAGGAGGGGATAGTAAGAGGCCAAACAGTGCTAAGTGCTACAAAGGATAGGAAGTTGTGGAGAGCCATGATCAACCTACTTGAACTTGTGTAAATGGATAGCAGAACAGGGACTAGGAGGGGATAGTAAGAGGCCAAACAGTGCTAAGTGCTACAAAGGATAGGAAGTTGTGGAGAGCCATGATCAACCTACTTGAACTTGTGTAAATGGATAGCAGAACAGGGACTAGGAGGGATAGTAAGAGGCCAAACAGTGCTAAGTGCTACAAAGGATAGGAAGTTGTGGAGAGCCATGATCAACCTACTTGAGCTTGTGTAAATGGATAGCAGAACAGGGACTAGGAGGGATAGTAAGAGGCCAAACAGTGCTAAGTGCTACAAAGGATAGGAAGTTGTGGAGAGCCATGATCAACCTACTTGAACTTGTGTAAATGGATAGCAGAACAGGGACTAGGAGGGATAGTAAGAGGCCAAACAGTGCTAAGTGCTACAAAGGATAGGAAGTTGTGGAGAGCCATGATCAACCTACTTGAACTTGTGTAAATGGATAGCAGAACAGGGACTAGGAGGGATAGTAAGAGGCCAAACAGTGCTAAGTGCTACAAAGGATAGGAAGTTGTGGAAAGCCATTATCAACCTACTTAACAAGTTTGTGTAAATGGATGGCAGAACAGGGAGGTTTAATAAGGGTACTTATTAGAACATTGCTTAGAATTACAAAAAGATAGGAAGTTGTAGAGAGCCATGATCAACCCACATCCTAGAGACACAGCACATAAAAGATTGTAAATTGAAGCTTTAAATAATAAAATCAAAATAAGCAAAATTGATAGGAGTTGATAAAAAAAAAAAGAGTGTAGTTAAAGACAAAATTGTAATTTTGAGAGGCTGGAGAGAGACTTCCTTTTTTTTTTTTTGAAATGTGAACAAATCATGGTCTTTGCTAACATTTAAATGAGTTAAAAAAAATAAAGACAAACTGGAAAGGTATTTTAAATGGTTGTGCAAATAGCAGGTACAGAGTAAGAAAAGAGGAAAAAATATTTTGGGTTTGACGTCATCCAAACATTTTTTAAAAACATTCTTTTAAACACTTTCATTACAGAGTTTGTTTTTTGTTTTTTTTGTTTCTAAATGGAAAGAATTGGTATATACTCTGTCTACTTTTACCTTTCCCGGTATTTTTTTTTTATAATTCTTTTATTTATTTTTTTTTTTTTTCACTTCTTATACTGATAATCGATAATTAGAAAATCTGCCTTGCATTACAAACAAGGCTTTTATATATATATATATATATATTTTTAAAAGAAGCTTTGGCAGCATTAATGGTCTTTTTGAATCATTTGAAAGAATCTTATTTAGGAATGTTCATCAGAAGTGAAAATATCAGTCAGTTTTATACTCTTATGTGGATGCAGTAGCATGCTGAAGTGAGGGCCGAGAGTGCAATGACCCTGGGCTTCCATATTGGGAGGGCATCCAATCAAAGAGAGAAATAAAAATTTAGTTTATATTTAATTTGACTAAAGTGTTTATTTCATGTTTCATCTGTTTTTGCATATTTAAAATGTCTTCCTTTCTCACATTTCTCAGTACTAAGCACTATAGTCCCCCCCTCCCCACTTGAATCATCACCAAACCTCTGCTAGTTACTGTATGGATGTCATAACTATTTCTGAATTGGTGTTCCCCGTAACCCTAGGTCACTAGTGAGAAATAGTGATAAATAGGCTAATGCATTTTTGAGTAATTTTTGTTTAGTTTTATATTCATCATTTTACTATATATACATACGGCATATTGTTAGAAAATCCTTGGTTATTATAATAAAGGCTTCAACCTCTTATAATATTTTAAATTATAATAATCCTAGGGAATGTATTTATCGATATCTATATCTATAAGATGCCAGTTTGAAACCACCTTCATGTGGTCAGTAGGCAGGAGCTGTATATGGAGGATTTGTGTATCAATGTGTGACATACTTGAGTACAGGACATATATACAGTGTCCATATATTATAGTTACCACATTGAACTACAATAAAAGAGATAGAAGATTCAAACAGGTAAACCATGAAATTTTCATAGGTATTTTTCATTGTTATTAATTTTTCACTTGTATATTATTGGTCAGAA